GGAATCACGCGGCGTGGCGGCACCGCGGCCTCTGCTTTCCGCTATGAAGTACCGCGTGGATTACCTGGGAGCTCTCCAGCTTTCGGAAAAAGCCACGAGCCTGGATGTGCTCCAAATACCACTTAAGGATTTGTATTATAAGTACAGACAGAGTATTTCTCGTGGAAAACTTCCTGTGCCTGGAACTCTGCAGATAACCGAAGGTGGGTTGAAGGTAACTCACGGAAATCCGGACGCGTCAGACAACTATTTTGAGTTTACGAATCCATTCCCAACCATCGCCGTCTGGGCCGCGGTCAAGCTCGTCATACGCAAGGAACTGATCGACCATGGCCAGGTGGGCTACACGTACGCATTCCTTCCCCTCATCTGCGATCCCGAGGCCCAAGACAAATACAATCTGTATCACCCACTCAATGTGTCCGACCCGTCCGTCATGGCCGTGGCACACCAGCATCCGCCCATGTTTGCTTGTGTCATGAGAAAAGCCGGCGTCCCGAAGGTGCTCGAGTGCCATGGCTTTGTGTGCGAGTCTGCCGAGGACGCGATCGTGATTGCGGCGAACCTCTACCAGGCGTTACTGGAGAACATGCGCAGCGAGGCGCCCAGCGAGGCCTCCAGCGATCCTCGGGACGATGACAGGCACGTCATGAGTGACAGCGAGATGGTGCCCGTACGACCCCCTAGGAAGAAGCGCACGCACAGAAGTGACTCGCCAGGCTTTGGCAGTGGCCTTCGTCGGGCAAACAGTGAAGACATTCTGCAGACGCACATCGTCCTCGACGAAACGCGTGCCAGCAGGCGCCTCAAGCGCTCCGTCAGTGACCGACAGCCAGGTGGGTTCTTGATTGATCCGGGTGATGTGTACACGAGGGTTGCCTTACCGCGTTCGAAATCTTTCATGAACGTCACAAACAAATATAACTTCCAGGACCTTCTGGATGACGTCAAACAAAAGACAGGATTGAACAGCGTAGACGAAGTGCTCAAACAAGTCATTAATCCGAAGGGCATGTCCTTCAGCGAGATGGACCCTGACCACCGAGAGATCCTTCTCAAACTTGCCTTAACGCTGTCCAAGGACGAGATTTACCAGCGGTCCAAGAACATCATGAAGAAGCAGAGAGGTCGTAGCACGTCCCTCATGAGCCTCATGGACTCGGACAGCGACGGCTCCACAATATCCTCCGTCCTGAAGGCCACGAAGCGGTCCTTCTCTCGCCTTGGCTCGCGCGCCTCCAGCCTCCAGTCTTCTTATCTGAAGGACAAATCGCCGCTTCGGAAGTTAGTCAACAACAAGAGCCGATACTCCTTCGAGAGGAGCGGGCGAGACATAGGCTCTGCGAAGCGCCCCGAGAACAAGGAGAACGAACTCACGCATCTGCTGGAGGGAGGAGCCAGGAAGGTAGCGCCGAAGACCCCGATGCCAAAGCGCAACCCGTCGCGCCAGAACGAGGGATACGTCTCGTGCAGTGAGTGTGGGTATGATAGCGAGTGCTCCAGCAAGTGCTACTGCTCCTTGCCTCGGCGCCCTCCGTCCGCGAAGCCCGCCGGGGACCACATCCACAAGGGCCACGACTCGCCTTGTGATTGTGATACAGAGAGTTGTGCTGAGAGTGAAAAGTGTTACTGTTCCTTGAAACGCGTGAAAAAGAATGGCCTGAAGATGTATGAGATTAATCTCGACTCGGAAACAGATACTAACACGGACGCGACGGGACACACCGCCGCCTCCTACAAGAAGGGTTTCGGCTCGCACTCCAACCTAAGCGAGCTGGAGTCACACGCGACGTCGTGGAAGCGCAACACGGGAGGATCCTCCAGCAGCGCCACGAGGCATAAAAGCTCGTCCTCGTACCTGACGGAGCACAGCAAGAGCCGCTCTGCAGGGACCGTCTTCTCTATGCACCCAGAAGTCATGAGGAAGAAGAGCATATCCTCCAATCTGTCTTCGGACTCTGAAATGTCGGTCGTGCATCGGTCGTCGGGCGGCTCCGGATACCACAGCCAGAATAGCGGCGACCGCCGTCTCCCGCTCCAACAGAGGACCCAGAGCACGGAGTCGCTGCTCATAACGCCTCGCCTGCGCCGCCACCCGTCCGGCTCCCTGGGCTCTGGGGGGTCCCGCGGCTCGGGCGGGTCGTCTCAGGGCAGTGGCAGTGCCGCCGGGTCACAGCGCTCGCGCGGCTCTGCAAGCTCGCAGCAGAAGATCCTGTTGGTGTCAGCCGTGGATCCCTCTGGGAAGGTGGTGTATCGCGGGGCGTCGCAGCGGCAGCAGCGCGAGGGGAGCGACACGGCCTCAATCCTCTCCATGAAGAAGACGGCCGAGATCGCCGCCCTGTTCTCCGAGCTCAAGCTGAACCAAACCACCGATCTCATCGACCATCTGAACCAGTCGGCGTCGGAGTCCGAGGACGACGCCTACTCTTCCATGCAAGCCAACAACTCCTTCCTCTTTTCCGACAACATTGAAAACTCTCTCGGATACCTGCCGTGAGCAACAAACAGCGCGTGAATGTGTGTGTATTTGCGTGTACGTGACAGATGGCGCCCGTGACTCCATGACAAGAGACGGTCGACCATCTGGGGCGACCATGTCAGCTGCAACCTGAACTTTGGGTCAGCTCGACAGTGCAATGTGTTGATAGTCTTCAAAGTGCAAAATCTCTTAACTCATATATATATATTTTTATCTATGTGGTCTGACATCAGCATTAAGGCTATATTTCATCCAGTCGTCCTTGTATATAATGTTAGGGATGTGCAATGTGATTTTCCTTTTGTTACATTATAACAAATATACTTGTTGTGACAATTGTCATTTCAAAGTGATTTAAGATTTTTTCAAGAAAACAATTCAATGATAGTTTATATGTACATGTATATTATAATAATGTTTGATAGCCTTCTATTCTGCATTATATATGCAGTTTTATTTATTTCATGCTGCATAATCAGTATAACACTGAGGTGGAATTACAAGATTTTCTAAAAACAAAATGCAGATATAGGTTGTTTCTTCTTAATACTAATATAGGTCACTCTCGATGTAGCTCATACTACATATCGCCAAATCACATCACCACACAAATCCATTCATTCCTCATCATGCCTTTTACCCTCATCACATAACCTTACAACTGTCTGGGCAGGACGGGAAGACTTGGCAGCTGATCAAACAGTCAAGGCTGAGAATGATTTGTTATTTCCACACCATTCATACATTCAAACCTTTTTTAAAATCGATTTTTTCACATGTTAAGGCCATATTCCATAAATTTTATAATTACATTTCCCATACTTTCATAATCACCTTTGTAGGATGTAGCAGTCTCACTTGTGGTTTACATTTTACATAAATATCCATTTCATTGTAAAAAAAAAAAAATACCGCTTGGACAATTGACATACCGCAGTGACTATACAGCAACGGGTCTCCCAGTCTAATGTCTCACGCCTAAACCAAGTTGAAATAGCCTCAACTGTTGCCAAACATACCAGCGGAAGTATAGAAATAGTAAGACTGTGAAAACTCCGTCCAGGTGTGTTAGTACCGATGAGTCAGGTGCGCGGAACCGCATGCGGAAGTGAGCGCTGATGCGAGAGATGACTCGCACTTCGAGTACTCGATTTCGTCCTCCACGCAAAGGGAGAAACAGTACGACTTTCCCTCCTATCGAATGCTTTACTTTTACTCTGCAAGATAGGTAAGAAAGAAGGGCACCTAAGCCGATTAGTTGTTTAAAGGACCCTTCGGTAGCCAGTATGTCATTCATTTTAGCGTTTCCTGTGTAGACATATGGAGGCAGACGGAGGTGGTTCCCATACCTGTTGCGTTGTACGCACTCGGGTGTGGAATTTCTCAGCTGTTCTCGTGGATATGCTTCTTTTAGTGTGGGTTCTACAAGAGTTCCACTGCCGTGGATTAGATGAGAATTAATGTTCTGTTTTTCCCGTGATTTCTTCGTTTTGTACGATAATGCTTGCAAGAAAATCAAACTAATGTCGAGTAACATATTATTGCCGAACTGCCGGGCTTGATCAAACCAAAATTGAATTAAAAACAAAAAGAAGGACATCAATCATAAGTGCTTTGCATGCTCTTCAAACTGCACTTACGCATATGAGTTTTAAAGACTTGATTAGAATCGTGAGCTAATAAGATATGTAACGGAGCGCAGGCGTGTCGACGCAGACACCATATGGTCCTCGCGGCCCGCTTGGCCACCGACGGTTCCCAGTCCCTGCTCACGCCTCCCGCAGTCTCTCATCTTTTAATTTCCATCTTGTGTTTCGTCGGAAATAGCTTATAAAAGGCTCTAAACCGACTCTATCAATTCCCAGCACTTGCGGCTTCCCAAATCCCATTATGCGCTCGAATGAAATGTTGACGTGGGAGTCGGTATTGGACGCGGCCGAGTGAGTGCGACGGCCCACTTGGCAAAGGGGAGCTGCCGTTCATTTCCACGCGCCCGCATTTATTTGTCTGCTAATTAAATGCTTCTAACCTCAAAAGCAACAAGTCGACGATACACAAAGAAACTCAAAGCTCCTTTCGCGGCCAAGCTCACGCTCTGAGCATTTACCTTGATGCTCACAGTTTCCCATGGCGCGCTGACGTGCTTCGTTCAACTCTCCCGCGATTCTTTTACTTTTAACGGGACAATGTCCGCGTGCACTGTAGTGTGCATTTTAGTATGTATCATAAGATTAGATACCTTACAGTTGCACAGATACACAGTTCAGTGCTGTTGCAGTTGCAGTTATCGTGACGCATTATCACGGGGTTACTTCCATCTTTCCATCTTTCATATTCTATCGTATCTTACATCGATCATTATTTTATTCCACTTCTATGGTCAAAAACTGTTGCCCCTTCTCGACTCCCAGGGGTCTCCCTCCCCCTCCCTCCCTCCTGCCGCCCGCCCCAACCCTCGCCCGGGAAGGCCAAGGGCTCTCACTGCCGAATTACCGTGCCAGGTAGTGCGGCAGTGAACTTCATTCCGAGGGGGGTCAGTGCCAGGTGAAGCCGCTTCCCTCTCAACGGGACGCGGGAAGCGGCTCTCAGTTTCTGGAAGCTTCTCGTCATGCGGCAGTCGAAATCACACGACCGGCGGCCCTGTCATCGTCGCTGGTATCGTAACTGCCCGCTTCAGCCACCATCATGATAATCGGCATGGCACTGCAGGCGCCTTCTATCCGGTTACGTGGCATAGCCTTGGCGAGGCACTTGTATGTCATCATCATCAAATAGCAGTCATCATCACGGTAACATCATCACCATCACAACATAAACATTATAAGCCTCACATCTCGCCGTTCTGAGGCACGTAAAGTAGGACTGACCTAATATCCGCCGTCACGCTCGATCGCGATAAGCGAAAACAACAATAACAAATCATTTTCTCAGCACGAGTTTAAGCCCTCATCTTCCGCCCTCCCTCTCTCCCTCCGTCCATCCCCCGCTCATTCACCCTGTACCTTATACCCCCTTCCTACCTCCTTCTGTACCCAATCTCCCTCCCTCTTTCCCTCCTTCCCTCCCTCCCTCCCTCCTTTTCTACTCCCGTTCCCTCCTTCCCTCTGCCGGCCTACGTAGCACCCTTGGCCCAGCAGGTAGAATGACACAGACAAACATTCTCTGTGCCAAGTCCGTCATGGCGGTGGTTGCGGCGGCCGGTAATTGAACACAACATCTGGCGTTCACATACACACGTTTCCCCCAGATCACCTTCAGCCGCTAACGCACCCTGTTCTCCGACTCGAATTCCTCTTTTCCCGGTCGCCACTCTTCCCCTTCGATCATTCTCATTCTGTTTTGTTTTAAGTCTGTTTTTTCCCCATGGCATCATCCTGCATATCTCACGTCAGCCATATTTTATTCACTAGTTTTCCTTTAATTTTATTCAATTTTCTCTTGATTTTGTCAATTTTCATCTTCCTCTTCCATTATACGTAGGATCTCTCTTGTTATTTTGTTGTTCCGTATTGAAATATGTTTATTTTGTAAAGCGATTATTTCAAGACAGTAACGTCGTATGCCGTTTTTTCTCATTATTGTTTGTAATACTAATTTATATTTCTAAATAGAATATTCAGTTTATGTTTATATAAAGAACTGTATAGATGGCACGTGTATGTAATTATCTGTTGTTTATTACCCATAAATATGTCGTTATGTAAATACTGTTTCTTGATTTTCTTTTATTGTACTGTATATATGACGATTATTTCCTTGTCCATATTCTATTTGATTTGTTAAATAAATTTGGAGACATTTATTCTCTTTTATATGCCCTTATTTTTGTGGGAGAAAGACCCCGATTTAACATGAACATTTTCATATTATTAATAATAACAGTGATGACGATAGGGATGGTAATGAGACGAAGAGTATTTTCATGAAATTAAACCGTGGCACTATTTTTGTTAAAAGTCAAATTATTTCCTGACATTGAAATGATTACAATGAACTCCTGAACTATGTTTTAAAAAAATCCTTAAATAAAGACATGTATGCCAAACTTCATCATCAGGAAAATTCTCCAAAATTAACATTAAATTACTATTAACGTCCAACACGCTAATAAGATAGCTCATTTAAATATACCTGAAGATGAAAACACCACAGTTCACCAAAAATATACAGCAATGAACTTTTTAAAAATTCCTCGGCTGTGACCCAGTTTAGGCTTTCGGAAAATTAGCATTAAAACATCTAGCTCGTTTGTCTTTAACGATTGTTTAAAAAGACTTTGAATATTTTCCTTCTCTAACACAGAAATAACAAAGCATACCATTGTATATTACAAATTCGAGGTCCCTTTTTCTAGGTACAAGCATACTTCTACCTTCATATATAAAAGCCAATCGGAAAGTATTAAACACCGCACAGTATAGAAAAGAGTTTCTTAACCTTGAGTGTGCAAATGATTTCTACAGGGGAAAGGGGGAGTTTGCCTGGGGGAAGAAAGTAAGAATTTCTCCAGCTATATTTGGAATTCTCTTAACATGTGTTGCTCTGTGTCTAGGTGTTGTTTGAATAAACTTTGTTGTCCATTAAACAGACAAGTAATTTTTTTCACTTCTCTCTTTTAGCTCTGGAGAAATTTTCAGTCGTAAAATCAGCTGAACAAGGGATTGTGATTGCGCCATGTTAACTGACACATACACACCTACATATATGCACACACACACGTACATATTCATATATGCACACACACACACAGACACACTCTCATGCACATGCACATACACATACACATACATACACATACATACACACACACACATCCATATACACACACGCACGCGAACACATACACACATACATACCCTCACACACAAACACACACAGATACATGTGTGTGTTTACAAACATATGGGTCTATATGTTTGTATAGGCCCCCCCCCCCCACACACACACACACACACACACACAAGTGTGTTTACAAACATATGGGTCTATATGTTTGTATAGGCCCCCCCCCCCCCACACAC